AATGAGGATATAATGAAAAACATTGGGAAAGTTGAAGACAAACTTCTATTACAACACGTGTATATATATACATCTATAAATAAAACCAGATGGACTTAACACAAGTAGTTTATCTGTTTTCTCACTCAACTTGATTTTATTAATATTCTGTTCAGTTTCATTTACTTAAAAAATGCACAAGGACACAATAAAGAACTTGAGAAAACTAGCTGAGAAAAAGTAGCTCACTCTAGCATTATCAGTGTACAAAGTTTATAGATTTCACAGTTTGTTTAAGATATCCATATCTATAATGATATATATTCATCTTCCTTTACCCACACTTCCCTCCCTACAGACAAAAGTGCATTCAGAATCCTAGTCCAATGAGTCAGTTAAAAATACACATCTGATTCATACATATATTCCGAATACAACCCTAAAGCCAAGGGGGATACTATTAATACACAGAACTAAAGAAACAGCCTCAACGAGCTGCCTTTATTAAATACCTTGTCTGTTACAATTAACTACAGCTACTGTCACAATGTTTCTCCTGCCGTTCTCCTTTGTCCTTATGTTGGTTTGTTTCTAAAACGAAATATTTAGTATAAAAGCTACTGTATCTTCTATACCCGGGTTTATATTTTTGGAGATTTTGTTTAAAAGCTAATATTTAAGTATACTAGGTACTACACTCCATCCCTTACTTGAAGTTTCTGGAGATTTCTGTTTCCTACAGAAAGACTAAATATAGTCCTTTAAACCTCAGTATTTTCAGAAAGAAAACAAGAGGTGAAGCTACCTTTGTCCTACATACATACTTGTACAATTGCATGGACAAAAAAATTGTTTCTAAAAGTCAGTATTATTATTTGTTTCACAGATCTGCTCAAAGATACCACTTAAGGACCAAGATCTCATTTTGCTAAACTCCACGAAATCGAAGTCCTTGCCCGGCAAAGCCTCCCTCAAGAATACACGACAGAACAGGTAAACCTAACGTTGACATTTGACAAAAAGACAACAGGAAGGGTTTGAGTAATTTACCAGAACAGCAAAACTGTCAAAAAGTTGGCTGAACGTGTAAGGCTACCTGCTCAGGAAACAAAGTTTCTGCTGATAGCACTCTGTGAGCAGCTGTTTCCAAATATTCCATGCCATCACACGCACTCCTTCCCCTGCACAGAATCGCTCTGCTTGACACGTGTCATTTGCCTATCGCTGCGGGACAGAGCCTTCGCCTTCCTCTTTCACTCAGCCTCTTATCTTTACCCCGTGGCCAAAAACAAGCCTTCCCCCTTTCCCTCTCAGCACAGGGGAGGTGAGGGGCTCAGAATAAAGGAGACAACCCGCTGCTCAGCCCGCTCCCCGCGGCACCCAGCGCGGGCGCTCCGGGGAGGGTCGAGGCGGCCCCGCACTTCAGCGGCGGCCCCTCGGCATCGCTGGCCCCTTCCCCTGGGCCGAGCCCGCCGGGCCCGCTCCCAGCCCTGCCCTCAGCGCAGGGCCCTGCCCGCCCGGCGGGAGGGGCCGCGCTGCCCCCGGCCCCGTGACACGGCCCGGCCCCGCCGCGCAGGCCGGGCCCGCATGCCGTGCACGGACAGGTGCAGCCCTCGGGCCGCCCGAGCCCTGCGCTCGGCCCCGGCCGCCTCCTCCTCCTCCCCCCTCGCCAGCCTCTTCCCTCCCGCTCCCCGCACAAAGACGGGGCCGCGCACGGGCACGGCCGGCCCGGGCCTCCTCCGCCCCCTCCGCGGCCGGCGCCGGCGCCCAGGGCCTGGCTCCCTCCCTCCCTCCCGCCCGCCGCAGGGGCCGCCGCCGCCCGCCTCACCTCCTTGGGGACGAGCTGGTTCTCCTCGCTCGGCACCATGGCCGCTGGCGCGGCGCGGAGCCCGCAGCAGGCTGAGCCGAGCGCCGTCGTCAGCAGCAGCGGGAGGCGGGGGGACGCCCGCGGCTCATCCTCCTCCTCCTCCTCCTTCTTTTTCTTCTTCTCCTCCTCCTCCTCTTCTTCTTCTTCTTCCTTCTCCTCCTCTTCCTCTTCTTCCTCCTCCTCCTCCTCGTCCGCTCCCGCGGGCAGCGCCGCGGCCCCGCCCCGCCGCCAATCCATGGCCAAAATGGCCGCCGGCACGGCTCTCGCGAGAGCCGCCCCGCCCCGGGCCCGCCGCCCTGAGCACTTTCGTGTGGACCGTGTCTGCTCCCGGCTCCGGTGCCGGCTCCGGGTCCGGGTCCGGTGCCTCGCCCAGAACCTCGCCCAGCACCGGGCGCGCCCGGCTGAGGCGCGAGTGTTGACTGAGCACGAGGGGCGGCGCAGGAGCCGCGGCGCGGAGCCCCCGCGGGCAGAGCCGCCCCGGGGCCGGCGATGGCGCTCGGCCGCCCCCCCCCCCCCCCCCCCCCCGCCCCCGCTTTCCTCACGTTTTCGCGGCGCGGGGGAGCGGGAGGTGAAGGGACGGAACGGGCTGCCAGGGGGATGCTGGAGTCACTCGCCCCGGAGGCGTTTGAGGAAAGGCTGGACGTAGCACTTGGTCTGGTTGACACGGTGGTTGGCCGGTCATCATTCCAGAGGTCTCTTCGAGCCCCAATGGTTTCTGCGGTTCTGTGGAAATGGAGTAGCAGGAGGGGAACGGGCAGGGAGCGCGCCCAGGTCGGTGCCCCAGGTGCGGCACGGGGCTCAGAAGGGGAGATTTTTATCCGTGACAGTCTTAGATATATTTGTTTTTCGTGCCGCCTGAGACACACCAAAGGCCAAGTAAAAATCATGAGAGTGACTAAAATACACAATAGTAGAGAAGTAGTTATTGCCTACTTCAGTGCAAAATAGCTTGTAAATGAAAAGCATTTTACTTGCCTAATGAAGAATGGTATATGGTAGTTGTACGTTTCTGTACAACTATTTTTCTTATTATTTCAGTGTCCTCTTGTGGAAAAATGCAGTACTGAGGGTAATTTTTGGTTTTATGTCAGAGAAGCTTTGTTTTTGGGGTAACTTTTGAAACCCATTGTACTGGAAGTTATTGGTGATGTGAAGATTTATTAAAATTAAATGATCTCTCTCCCTTGTCATGTTCAAAGTATGTAACTTTTCAGGTTCCTCTTCATCACCCTACTTTCTGAGAGAGAGGTGGAACCTTTTGGAGACAGGACATGTTATTAGTATAGTATTTTAGCACTTCTAAAGAGAAGGCTTCAAAATATTTTTGTGAATAACATCAGTGGTTTTATTTTCGTCTTTAAAGTACACTGTGGAAAATGCTGTTTCTGGCTTTTTTGTTGTTTTATTTGTTTCTGCTTCTTGAACTAAGCACAGAAATCCTCTCATTGAAAAACTTAGAGCAGTTTTTAAGTATATTTCTAGCTTGGTTTTCATTATATAACTTAATGGGCTCTAGTTATTTATATAGTAAAGGTCAGGAAGTTCTTTAAGACAGGAGCTCTTGCCCTCTAGCTTTGAAATATGTTGCACCTGAAAGCCTTAGACCTTTGAGCTCTAATATGATGAAATTAAGCATCAAGGGAGGAACATCGGAGTCCCTTGTTAATGTTACTTTATGTTAAGCAAGGGGTTGCATACAGCTACCCCTCTGCAAAAGGAAAAAAAAATGTAAAGTAGTTTGGTTTTGTGATAGGAAAAAGGGTATGTAATTAATAAACCCATGTGTTTTTGAAAAGAGATGCTTTATTAATGGTTATCAGCGGTGTCATTTTCTTAAAATTTTGGGGATTTAGTTGGGGAGGGGGTTTTCTGTTTGGGGTTTTTTGTTTGGATCTTATGTTTGAGGTTTCTTTTGAGAGGGACTTCTGTAAGTATCTTGGTGTGAGAAAAGGTGTAATTGCAGAAGAAATGAAAAATTTTGTCAATTTTAGATAATTTGAAGGAGCGCAGCTTCCTGGTGATTTCCTACTGCTCAGTGTTGTCCAAAGATCCATGAGGTCAGTGAGCAAGTCCTTGAGCCAGAACAGAGCCGAGCTTGCAGTACAAGGTAGTACAATCATCTGAACACTGGGAACCTCCAACTTTGAAATGTGACTGACTGGCCTGGTGTTACTTCCCCCTCCTCCCATTTTGGAGGCACCCCCCCCCCCCCCAAACCTCTCAAAATTGGGGGATTCTTCCTCTGTTTTGTAAGGAATTCAGAATTTAGGGACAAGAAGCTTTCAGAGTTGTTAGTTTTGAAAGTTCTTTTGACTCTCTGAAGTGTTATGTTCTTACTGTTTTGGTTTTTGTGGTTTTTGTTTTGTTTTGGGTTTTTTTGCTGTCATTTGAGCTTAACAAGAGAAAAAGCTGCAGGACTCAATGACTTCATTGAAATATATTGTTCTATTAGAATAAAGAGGTAGCTACCACAAACATGTACCTACTAGATAAGAATCAGGAGTTTGTTTTTTAAAGAAATACTCTTTAGATCCTCCTGCCAACCTTTAAAACTGTGCAAACATCCAGTGTAGCATGTGTGTATGAAACATCTTTAATGGAGTAATAATCTCTGGTTAATAATTAAATCTCTGAGAGCTTTTGTAATTTGTGGATGCTACAGTGTTTAATCTCTTCAATTGAGATTTCTTAAAGAGGAATATTCAGCATTTGAGTTTCATGAAGAGAATCTTAGCCTTGTGTAAAGGCTGATTTAATATACCAAAGGTTTAACTTGTTATCAGTGCGAGGAATGGAGTAAACTTGATGCTGGATTTGCAGGCACAGATAGATTTTTTTGGCTGTTTACTGTCAAACTCTTCTCAGAGATGCATTGGTGAGAGTCACAAGTGCTGAAGTGTGTCAGTTTTCAGCTAATACAGGACTTACCACACCAATGTATGCATCAGAAGAATTGAAATGTAGTTATAAAATGTTCGTGTGCTAAAGCAAATAGCAGGCCTCCATTAGACAAGTTGATGAACTTGTAAATTAGTCTCTGGGAACAAGATACCTCCCCTCCTCTGCAGCCTTTTTAAAGTTTATGCTTTAATCGTTTCACCTTCTCTGTAAAAAAAATCACTGAATCCTGTCCCAGTGTCCATATCCAAGGTCTAATAAGTCATGAAAAAAGTTTGAAAAAGGTTTTAAAAACTAAATGGAGTGCTGTCATCTGGTTCTTTCATACGTGCAGTTAGGTGCTGCAAACTGATGTTTTTCCCATGTTATTATCTCCCCTGTTTGAAAGGGAAAGCCTATGTAAAGAGGACTGTGTGGACTAATACCACTGATTTGGGATGTCCTCTCTGAAACACTCGGTTTCGATTTTTCAAATAGGCTGTTGGTGGGAGATCCATCTCCTGTTTCAGAGGCAGAGCCAACATTGCAGTGCTTTTTTTTTTTTTCTGTATTGTTCTGTTAAAAACAACCAACCAAAACAAAACAGAACCCTCAATAAAAACTCCCAAAACTGAAGTTTGCAGCCTTTGGCAAGCTGTTGACAAATTATCAAAATGGCAAAGCAATTCTGTATTTGCCAGCAGTAGAAATGTAGTCAGTGCTGAGGCAGAGTTCTTGCAGAGCTCATCTGCACTGTCAGCACTTTAAATAAAACCAGCTCAAGGCCTCTCCCCTTTTCAATCTTTGGCAAGTCCACATCTACTGATAGAAACAGAGATGTGTGAAAGTTCAGGATATCACAGTCCAGCAGTTCATTGCACTGCTGGTTACTTTGCTATTTGAGCAAGTAACTTTTCCCCAGTTGCACAGCAGATTTTGAAGCATTTCCCTGAAAATCTGCAACCAACTGCACATCCAGTGCTTTCAATAAGGACAGGGGGGAAAAAAAAATCAGTAAATTTGGCCCTTATGTGGATGGAGGGAAAAAGAAGGGAGAATTATTACGAATAACAAATAGAATTAGTAAAAGATAAAGAAAATTATATAATTCTAAAATTATATAGTTCTGGATCTTTAAATGTGCTTTTTACTAGGTATTAATTTCTTTGGTCATAGCTCCCTGAGTATGAAACAGACCAGTAAGAGGCTGGTCTAATTAAAAAATTAGGATATTTAAAAAAACAACACTGATTATTTTCAATTATTCTGTACCTGTTAGGAGTCTTTTATATTTTAACATTTTAGGCTGTTTCTTGAATGTGTTAAGCACTGGAATCAAGGTATTAATTTAAAGATAGAGAATTATAAAGTGATTTTCTATGATCTGTACCTTAACACTCCCCAGAGATTATAGATTTCCATGTCTAAAGAAGTGTATGCAGAATTTTAGGAAATAAAAAAAATCATTTTCTCTGAGTTGAGAATGCTCTGGGAAATTAAAATGTTAAATGGAAGATTTAGTAGGGAAAAGGTATTCTTTTGCTTTAGAAGGACCATTGTAACAGGTCTTGTAGGTGTAGTAAATAGGTAAACAGCACTCTGAAGTTAAACTTAGAGATTAAGGAAAAAGCTCATTTATGTTCAGTGCTAAACACTGTGTTCTGCTGTTGTTAAACAGTGTTTTCTGCCACAATCTTTCTGAACATTCAAGTGCTTTTCTCTCCCCTGACATGGTATTTCATGCCAAGATCTTTTTAGTAGAAACCAGTAGGGGATTATTTTAATTAATTGTAAATCAGCAGTCAAGATTCATTAACATTTTTGTTAAAGATTGTGTTATTACTCTGGTTTCAAGATTGTGAGTGTTCAGATATTAGCTTAGGAAGTTTTCTTTTCCATGATAGCATTAAATTTATGTATGGATTCCTGAAAGAGTTTGGAGCTCAAATTAGTTGTAAAGAGAAATAAAAATACTGCAGAGAGTTTTGCAGGACCATGGCTTCCTTTATTAACACTGAATTCTTTTTCCAGCTTGACTTACAATTTTCAGCATTGTGTACTTACAACTACAGAGCAGTTTCTGGCATTAGCAGCCTAAACAAAGCACAGTTCCAGGGCATTTGACCTCTTGGTGCACTTGTCAAAACCTTCCTGGTGTAGCTGGGAGTGAAACACTCAGCAGCAGGCCAACTTCCACTTCGTGTGGGGACAGTTTGGAAGCAGATGTGGGCTGGTATCACGGAGGGTTTGTGACATCCAAGCAGATCTCACGTAGGGTTTGCTGGCTTAGCCTCGTGGCCAGGCTGTGACTGCTCCATCTGAAATGTGTGCAGTAGCTTGGAAATGTGCAGACTGGTGGAGTGCATGCATCCTTTCTGGAATATGGGCTTGGGTCTTATCTAATCCCCTCCTCTGAGTCTGGAGGGTGATGGGGGGAAGGAATTTCTGTGCACAGCAACACAGCAAAGGCTTTCCTATGGGAAAGCAGGAAGAAGGGAGTGTTGCCTTGAATCAGCCGTGGTGTGGCATTGTCAGTCACCAACATGGTTCAGTTACTTTAAATGTTCAAAAAAAGCTCACAGTCACATAGCCAGTGTATTTCAAAACACTGAATTAACACTTACTGCACATGAGGAATTGCTGCTGGAGAGGCCCTAGGAGTGCAAAGGCAGGGCTAAATAAGACTCTGTAGTGTGCAAAAGTAACAGAGTAGCTTAGGTTCAGCATGCTCTCAGTATTCAGGAGCTCTCAGCATGGACAGTCAAGGTATTTATAGCTGCCCTTGGGTCCTGGGGAGTTAAATAGTTCAGGTTTGCGTGAGGGGTTCCCAGTGACCCTTCAGATTAGATCTGGTGACGTTTAATATTACAAGCCAGTGCTAATTATACTGCTTACAGCTCTTTGGGCAAGCAGGAAGTGGTTTCCCATCCTCAGCATGCCCTAGCACATAGAGAACATTCCATCCTCCCAGATTTAAGTTCCTAGGTGGCCTTCGCCTGGATGAAATATGTTTTCTTTACCTTTCCTTTGTAAGGCGTCACGATTGTCAGCGTAAAGAGGTAGCTCACAGCTGCCTGGGCCCCACCCCATCTCCTCACTGAGGGGAGGGAAGAAAGGGCAGCAATTGGTGTCTTTTAAATGTCTCAAGATTCATGGTGTGGAGTACCAGGGCAGTACCTGCAGCAGGATCTGTGCCCTGGGCTGCCCCACGATGTTGTCAGCCCTTGGCCTCTCTGCACTACCCGGCAGTGGAGACCTGCCAACCTTCTCTACTGGGCAGGGGTGGAAAGCAGGAGGGGGCTGTCACCCATCTCCCCATTCCTCCATGAATGGTGCTCACTGACAGTGCCTGACACGACTCTCTGCTTTGCTCTGTGCTTTCACTAATAAATTTCTTCCACTGATGATGGGAGGAACTCTGTATTTTGAGGAGTATTGGGATAGACCTGGTTATTTTATAACTGGTTTAGTGACACTGAGGGGATGGGAGTTGCTCTTCATCTGCAGTCATTCCCAGTGCCAGGACTCTCTCCTGTCAATCCCAGGAGAGCCACATGTCTGCAGTGCTGTAGCTGCCTGTTCCTGGTCTGTGCCCCAGCATTGGCAGGGGCTCAGGGTGGCCTGTGGTGAGACCTTTCTAAAGCAGCTTTTAGGCTGTTTGTGCAGAGCTGGTGGGAGACTTGGTCTAAAACCTGCTGTGGCCCTATAGTTCTCCGAGCTCAACCTTGTCCTCGTTTTGCAAGAGGCTGTCTCTGGATCATTTGCAGCCTTCCTGGGCTGTAAGGGCTGCTCTGCTGTGGGGCTTGCTGAGCTCTTTCTTACATTAATTAATGTAGCTTTACCTTTGGCAGCAGCAAAGGGAGCTGCCAGAGGTCTTACATAGCATTTAAAATGTCAGCTGCCGGTCCAGAGCAGCTGCCAGCGCTGGAGCTCTGGCAGCGGGAATGCTGTCACAGGACAAATGCAGGGAATGTCAGTGTGGACACAGTGTGAGTCAGGCAGGGCAGGGACTTGTGTACAGAGTATCCTGACGTTGGTAAAATGCCCTTTGAAATCTCCCAGCAAGTTGTCTCCTGTCTTGCTTGGGTCATATATAAGGAAATGCTGCTGGCTCCTGACTGTTGTGGTTTGTATTCAGACCTGACTGTAAGTAGTTGTCAGTGTGTGGGGTCTGCAATGATAAAGTAATCCTGTAGGACTGGGAGTCTCTCTTCTGGGAGAAAGAGTGAGGCAAAGCACTGCTGGTGAGAGACCTAAGAAAGAATGTAGTTTCTAGAATAAGTAATTTTTGGTCACATGTATGTCAATTTTAATTCTTTTTAGTGGACTTTTTCTTTTAAATGTTTGGAACTTATCTGTTGATTGAACTGAATTAACATGGGAAAAATAATAAAAAAAATCGTAACTACTGTCCTTGCTTGTCATCATTGCCTTTGTGAATAGTTGTGTCTGGAGAGCAGTTGTGTTTCCTCAGTATTTTGATTAGAAGGCTTGACTGAAGACATTTGCGTGAATTTGAATCTTCTATTTGCTGTCAGTGTGGGAAGTAATTTTCTTTTTATATTATTATTTTTTTGCAATGAGTTGTGCCAGCTGTTATAAGTTAGATGAATACCCCTTTGCCTCTCACCTGTGATTTAGATCAGGCTTGTGAATTGGACCTGTTAGATGTAAGCAGGTCTACCAGAGGTGTCCATATAGGTACAGATGAATTTCAGATCATTTGGACTGAATCTAGATCCTTTAATGAGACTTTAACTCTTCAACAGAGGATTCTTTTACATGCTGGTGTTAAAGAAGGGCTCATTGGGGTTTTTTGTTTGGCTGGTTAGTAATGTGGGATGCATCCATGGAATGCAGGGGTGTGTGAATCAGAAGGGTCTCGCTGCCAGGCTCGTAGATGTAATGATAGGCTGGGTGCTGCAATATCCACCACAGTGTTTTACATATGGAATTAATCTATGCCCTTCCTTGTGCTGGAAATGTGTGCCTTTCATGCCCTGTGCCTTTGCATTCACGATGGGTTTGTGTTCCTTATGGTGACAAAAGATTTACATTAAGCAGCCCAAACCAATTTTGAATACTAACAGGCATATAGAACTGTGCTTTTGATACCACCAGTAATGGAAATACTTACTGGAAAGCAAATCCCAGACTTGCTGATGGGAATGCTGTAGAGTCAACCAAAAACGTCCATAAACCTTTTGATATTCTAGGTTTGCTTCTACATACAAGGAAACTTGCATATCCAATAAAGCCCCCATCCTGCTCTGCATCCCAGATCTGGGTTATATGGCAGATTTTTTTTTTTTTTTTTTTAAGTCTAGGAGGGTTTCTGAAATGGGGAAAACGAAAGGCTCAGATCATTAGGGGGTTGTTGTCAATACTGCCCAAGAAGTTGTAAATTAAGATCATCCAGTCAGTCATATTTGTCTTTTGGATTTTTTTATCTGTTCTGACCTCTGAATTTGAGGGAAAATAAAAGCCATAACATACTTTTCTAAATGCAAATTTTTTTTGCTAATACCCTGACCATTCTTTAGTCTGTTCTTCCTTATGGCTACCCCTTCAGCCTCTTCCTTCAGAGACAGGCTGAAATTACAGTGGCCTGTCTTTTGTTAATCTGCTTTTTGTATTCCCATGTAATTTATTTTCATGTCTTTGAAATTATTTAGGATGGCACTAATGTGATATACGTGTTTCAGGCATGAAGAGGTTAATGAAGCTTTAACTGCCTCATAATACCATTCATGTTCTTGGCAGCCTTGGGGATGGGAGTTATTGCCTGCAGTTATGTACAAGAACTATTATCCTCTTTGATTGCCATATTTCTGTACAGCCAAACTAGATTTAACAGGATTTTTAGGGGGGTCCTTTTGTATGTTCTTCAGCAGAAATAGCAATTTTATAGTGCCCCTTTTGAAAATTGAAAGGGCAGCTTTTAGTAAACAGGTAATGAAACCAAGAATTCCTATGTAAAATGAATAAAAATTATGTTCATGAAAAGATGTTTTGAAGATGTTTTTGTGATTTAATTTTTGGAAATAATTTCATGGTATATGAAACCATTTTCAAAGCCTCACTGCTGGTTTGATTCTGGCCCTTTGGCTGCTTAAACCATGGCTTTACCTGAGGATGAAGTCACTAGCTTTTTTTTTTTCTTTTTAATTGAGGAAGGAGAAAAACTGAATGCAGTAAGAATTAAAGTGGACATGCAATTTTTTAAAAGCTCCGATGGAAGTGATTATTTATGGAAATTTCAGAGTAATTACTGGTTACTAGTGCTGCGCTGGCTATTTAAAATCCATCATGTGACTGACAGTGATGCCACTCAGTGCATTTGGATTGCTTAATGACTCTTCTAGACAATGTTGTGTTGTAAAACAGTAATTAGGCAAGATGTTGTTTCAGCCATGCAGTTGGTTTGGTACTAATATGCAGTCTGAAGAAATCATGTTAAAACCGTAATACCTAGGGGACGTTCACAGGCAGGACTAAAGAGCCAGAGATGAAGTAAAAAAGCAAGGCACTTTCTTCTGCAGTACTCACTTCATCTGTATAAAGTCTAGAGGTGTGAGAAGTTTGATTTTGAAGGCATGCTTATGTTGGGTCCTGTTGTTCCCATGACTATTTGCTTCAGTACATTTCAGGAGTCTGTAACCTGATGTTTAAATACATGAGATGTTCAGGATATCTGAGTGTTGCTGCAACCTCGAATCTTGGAAATAGCTGAGATTTATGATTTTGAACTCTCCACTTATATTTCATTAGCTATTTTGTGTTTTCTTACATTTTTAAGAGGGAACTGGTTTTACTTACTAGCATTACCTATTTCTACATAGTCTGTCACAGCTGAAATAGCAGAACTTAGAGTTCTGTATCAAGTATGCCAATCTTGAGATAGAGTGTTGATGAGTGCAGGTATTTTGAATGTAGAGAAGGACATTTCTGGTTTTCAAACCTGAGAGTAGCTCAGGCAGTCTCTTCTACTGTAAACTGGATGTTTACAGACACAGGGTGTCTCTACATTAGAAGAAGTTAGGTGTTAGTATCCTTCTGTGAATTGTTAACTGCAGCTCAGTATCCTTTCTTCTTGGGATTTATAACATGTCATAACCTTAAGTTGCTGGGATTTTTTAAATGACATTTTCTTGAGAGCGCCATTGGACCTTCCTCTATCACTATGCTAAGAGGGTTGATGTGAGCAGCTAACATCTCTTTGGGTCTGCAGAGAGACTATTTTATTTTAATAGTGTGCTCTAACAGTGTATTAGCAATGTTTCCTTGTGCTTAGGGATGGTTATGTCATCAGAAAGTACATGAAAAGAATATGGAAATTTCGAGTGTGGGAATAGCATGACATAAGTGCATGGGAACATTAGACTTTACCATGCACGATGCAATTCATGACATTTAAAATTTTACATGTTACTATATATACTAGCTTTTTTTCCACATTAATTTCAGGACTTCTCTCGTTTCCTCAGCTCTTCAAATTAAACCTGAAGGAAGGAAATAAAACTTGCTTTATTTGTGTAAATGTGAAGTTGAGCATGATGGTAAAGAACTGACCGGAGAAGGACATAACAAAGTGAAAGGTAAATCCAAAAGGTTTGGAAAATAATAGGAGAAGAAGGGAAAAGTGAAGAAAATTAAATCTAATCTCTACAAAATGAAAGAATTTGTGTGCATGGGGGGATACAGGGGTAGCCATGATACTGATCATAAAAGAAACATCTTTAAAAGAACAAGCAAGGTACTGTCCAGCTGGTTTTTTTTTTGTTGTTGTTTTGTTTCTGTATCCAGAGACATTCTGGGAAGAACCAAAACATTTCCCCATGTGCCTTTATAGGACAGAAGGCAAAAGCAATGGATAAAGCTACTTCCTGATACTGCAGTGGATGCTGATAATTAAGAAACTTTTGGATAAAAAGTACTATTACAAAAATGCTAAAACATTAATATTAAGCGCACAAAACCATCTCTGCCTCCTTTCTTTATCACAAAAGTCTTGTTGCTGAGAAAACTGAACCTTAATGTCCCGTATCCCAGAGGCAGCTGTAGGTGCGAGACACCTTGCAAACAGGAGGTCCGTGACTCTGCTGGGAGCTGTTTTGGGGGTGGAATTAGAGCGAGGTTCGAGGAGAGCAGGAAATTGCACAAGGATGTCTCTGTTGGTTGTTTACGAGTAGCCAGTGCTGCTGGAATAAACAGCTGTACGGCAGCACAGTGTCCCTTTTGTCGCCCGGTCCAGCAGGACTGCAAATGAAAACCTAGAAGCTCAGGCCTTGCATTCAGTGGAGGAAGCCCATGGGATAAGGGAGCTTGTCACAGAACTTTGGAAACTGAAGGAACGTGCAGTAGTTTTGATCGTAGACAAGAGCTTTTTAAATCCAGGTTGTTTTTGCCAGTAATGCTCAGTAAACAAAACTTTAATAGGCAAACATAGAAGTTGAAACTGTTTCCCCACCCCCCCAAACCACCTCCCATCTCTCTTCCCCTGTGCTGGAGAGGTGTTTTACAGTTTTCTCTGGGGTCTTGGAAGAGAGAAACCTGTGGTGAACAGATTTCAGGTTTCTCACTGCAGTATGACAGTGAGATGGGGAAGAGAAATTCAACAAGAGAGTGTGCAATGCAAACAGAGACCTCTCTCAGCTCTTCAGCCTTAGCTGCCTCTCCTTTAAATAGGGAAGTATCTGCAGACTGACTCAGCGACTAGACCTCAGTTTGCCTTGCAGAACTAAAACAAGTGATTACAAGGAGTGCTTTCCTCACTGGAAGCTACTGGCGACATTTTCACGTGTTTTCTAAGCATATGTAAACATTTGGGTCCACTGAACATCTTCCTGCAGGTGTGGTATTCTCACAGGAAAGGGAAAATGGTGATTTCACCAAGTCACAGATGTTTAATGAGGTAAACTGTGCTCAGATACTGCTTAATTAATCCTGTTTCTATACTGTGAAAAGTGATTCAGATACTGAGTTTTCCAGAAAGTCAAACATGAATCCAGTGCCAGAAAACAGGGTGGGAAAAAAAGAAAACCCACCAGGAATTTAGTAAGACTGAAACATCTTTGTTGTTCCACTGCTGAGCAAACTAAAAGGAATGTATTTGCATGGATTCAGTGGTAGTTGTTAAGGCTGATTTATTTCAATATAGTAGAAGGCAGTGAGTGGGTTGTAAAGAAATGTGCTCTTATGTTGAAATTATTACACCTCTAGCAGAGATAAAGAATACCTGATTTACCTTACTGAGGTCTGTATTCTCCCCGAGACTTCTGCACAATGACCTCCAGGGGCCTCTCTGCTACATTCTGCAACACCAGTCTGTTGAGATGTGTTACAAGACTATAGCTTTTTGTAATTTCTGAGATGGGAATAGTTTAATTAGGTTCTTAGCTGAATGACTGAAGTTTAGTGACCATGTTTCAATGTTAATGTTCTGTAACTGCAAAGAAAGGTCAGCTAAACAGGGAAGGGTTTTTTCAGCATCATAAAAGAACCTTTGTGCTATTCTTTTATGATGTTTTAGGAAGTGTCCTTGGTACCACGATGTGGGCATCTTGGGTATCATTGAAGTCCTTCAATAACTCAGGGCAGGTTATATTTAGAGTGGTTTTAAAATGTATTTATTTTCAAGGACTGCCTAGCAAGTCTGTGTTTCTGTGTAGTTAGTAGTGTTTTGACTTTGGTTTTGGGAAAGGGGAATAAGAGAGCAGAAAGTTGAAGTGAATAAGATTTTGTTGGATTTGGTCTAGAAAATTTAAAGGTGTTTAAAGTATGACAAAGAAATGTAGTGTGTTCTTACTATTAAAAAAAATAAAATTAGCACTAGTCCAAAAATAATAAAAAGATTATGAAAGTATTTTACTTGTCTTGTTAATATCTTATTTTATGGCAAATTAATTTATTTTTCATCAAAATAATTCCTACTTGATTTTGATTTAAACAATGTAGCTATTTAAATAAAGCTCTTATTTAGTGGTGCTTGCATATTTTCTACAGAACTCTATATTGCTTTGAAATTCAGTATTTCATTTATATGCCAGGAAAACGATCGTTTTCCTTCATCTGCAGAACCCATATATTCTTTTTTAAAACTTTCAGATGTAACCTTCTTAAATATTTTAAGGCATAGCTCCCAACAGAACAGTGGAAAGCTGCTCTTCTCTTAACTTTGCCCTCCCTTTTCTAGGTCTTGGTGAATTACTCAAGCTGCTTTACTTTTCACTGTGTGAAGATTTTGTTATTCAGATAATAAGGCAGTTGTGTTTTCTAGACTGACTTCTACTGGGTTTGAAAGTGCAAATAAAAATTCAAGGAAGGATAAGTATTAAATGCACTTTGTTCAATGTGTGCAATACAGTAATTTCAGATCTCTGCTTATGTAGATGTCAGATTCAGTGTTGCTGATGAAAGGAAAACCACGTGTTATCTCAGATGTTGGGAATAGATTGGAAGATGTTGTATTCCTACAGAGGGATCCAGAGAAAGGATCAGTGGGAAGTGCAGCTTCATTGCTCTGCTTTTGTGACCTCTATCAGATTTTATCTGCCTGTTCCATTCATATTGAGGCAAATAACCTGTTCTTGAGCTATTGCTGATCTGTGTGCAGCATGTAGAAGGAATATGAAATACCTGGGATAACACAGTCACCAAGACCAAAATGCAGGCTTCTGTAATGGTCATTTATTACAAACTTGCTGCCTCGAGTAAACTGGATTTTTCATTTTTCATTTTTTTCTGCACAGATACATTTATTATTTAAAATGCTACCTCAAGTAGTAAGGCCAGACTGATTGGGGTTGACTTCCTTCACTGAACAACAGTGAAAGAGAAATATGTTAAGCAGATGGGCATGAACAGATTTGGTTCAGTACTGATGGCAGAAGCATTCCTAATTAAACAGGCAAGGTGAAGCTAACATGCAGGAAATAGAGAAAGCAAGGGATTTTTTTTTTTAATTTGGGAAAATTATTATCACAGTGCAGAAAATGGGCTGTCAGTCTTACATTTTTACACTTCTGCTCCCTTCCACTATGCCAGCTTGTCTGCTTGCTAATTTTGATCTGCTTTTTATAGAGTTCTTATGTAGAGATAGTTTTGTTTCTTGTATAGTAACATTCTCAGAGTAGAAATTTTCTTTTTTCAATTAACATTCTGAAATTTGGAGGTTTAGATATTTCTGTAATAAGTTTAAAACTATGAGGATTTATTCCTCTATTTTTGTAAGTAGACATTAAGCTATTCCTTAAAAGCCTGATCGATGCTCCAGCCTTATGGAAAGTACTGCCTTATTTATCCCTTATTTTTTAATAGAGCCTTTGCAATGAATTTGATAGCACTTTGAAGGGAGCAGTCAGAAGGATAAGATCTCAGTTTAACACTAAGGGCTTCAGCATGAAGTCGCTGAGGTGTTTGTTTTCTCCTAATTCTGGTGGGACTGAACCAGAGTATTATAAACAATTAGCAAAGTATGAAGAGCAGTTCAAATGAAGGTCATTTATTCAGGTAATTAATGGTTTTGAGCAGCCTAGTGGTCAAAAGAAATTGTCTTTTTAACTTTTTCTTTTATTATTTTCTTTAATGTATGTTGTTTTTCTTAAATCTCTTTTGAGGCAGATAATGTTCTTTAAGCAACGATACTGGTTGTGTGTGGCATTGACAACTGTGGACATGATCAAGGAAAATATTTCTTAAAACCTTAGTTTAGGTAAGTAATCACTCTTTACTTGATGCTTGCAGTACATTGAGCTATACCTGCAAGGTGAAGCACTTAGTATTTTAAATTAATTTTTTGAGGGAGGACTAACTGTGCCCTGAATAGGTCAGAATCCTTAGCTGTTAATTCAGGAAATAATTTCTCTTCAGAAACTGTCACGGAGATTCTTCTTAAAATTCTGCATTCCTTATGATACTTGTATGAACAGCGCAAAATAGTTTCAACATGTATAATACATCAGATAATGGATATATAGAAAGTTGCTACTACAGTATTCTCTTGATGTACTCTGTGAATCTGTTGGAACAAGATGTCGTATTTAGTCATGGGTTTGGCTGAGCAGGGAGCTATATCTCAAGTTGTATGGATATTTTAAATCGCTGAATTACATTACTCAAAAATTATTAGGAACATTATCTTGCTAAACAGTTTTGTGGTAAGAATTCCTCTGGTTTCAGAAAGTGATCTTTTATTTGCTGATAGAGGTTTTGAGTAAAGAAGTCCAGCCAATTAAAATCTGAATATTCATCATGGATGCAGATACTGGTGATATTGTCTCAACGAAGGTTCGTTGGATACTTGGCTGAACTCAGCCTGTGGATACTTTTGTGGATCTCCCCCATGAACATATAGCCATGACTGACACTCCTTCAAAAGAAGAAAGAGAAAAAAGCTTTGAAGAAAGAAAAAAAGAATTTTGTAACACTGGAAGTAGCTTTTTTTTCAGCCCCTTTGCACTTCAAACAGAGTTGTGAATGTTCGCTGCTTGCCAAGAAAAGATGGTTCTGACATGAGAATTCATGTAGGAAGCTCGGATCAGCTCAGAGGAGCTGAGGGATTCAGACCTCTTAGTTCCTGTTCTGGTGCCCAAATTGGTGGGGTTGTTTGGAGCAGAGTTTGGGCCATCCAGGTTGTCAGAGCTGTTCCTGGCCCGTCTAGGGGGCTGCTGCTTGGGGCTGGCAGGGCACCCAGGGCTGCAGTGGCAGGGTGGGGCACAGTGACCTCCAGACTGTTGTCACTGAGTCCTCCACTGGGCATTTTGTGACTTTGGAGGTGTTTTTAGTTGGTCAGTTAGATGAGCTTTAAGGCTTTTCATATTTTGAAGGAAAAACAGTGTATATATACCAGGAGCCCAAACTTGGGCTGTTATAAAACTGATGTAAAGGTAGTGAAGCTGACATTGCTGGTTTGGACTATACCATAATAGGTATATTTATTTTTTTTTAGTGTGTCCTTCTGTGTCCATAGAAAATCTGCAAAAAAAAAAAAATCAGAAAAGACAAATTCTATGTATTAAATCACTAGCTTTGAATTTGTTTCTCCTCATTAATAGGCTCTATTATGACGTTCCTGCTGCAACTATTTTTTCCTTTGCAAGGCTTCTACAGATCCTGACCACTTCTAAAGAAGGAATTCCCAGCAGAAGGCTAATTGTTCAGCTCAGCTCTATGAATCTGTACAGGGTAACAGAAATCTTACACTTCATAAAAAAATCTCACCCTTGCCAACGTGTCCTCTGTATTAAACAGTTCTAGTGCATCTGATTTTTTAACAGATTCAAGACAGCAAAGTAGGCTCAGGTGTGTAGGAGAGGCAAAATATGTGAGGGCAGACTAACGTTCTGAGGGGAGATATAGAGGTAAAATACATTAAAATCAAAGCGCCATAAATTTACAGGGTCATTTCAATGCTGATAGTGTAATGTTGCTTTCCAAGTGAAATACATACATCTCCTGAGTCAATTTTTTTAAGAGTTCTCAAACTCCAGCAAAGAAGAAAAATCTAAATTTGTCAGCTGGGTAACCAGTACCAGGAAATATAATGAGCAGGTTTTGTGAATGTGGGTCACACCATCCCTTCTCCCTCCCCTTACCTGCTCTTTCCTTAGGCCGTAAACATTTTTGGATTTTGAAGCATATTTACAGGAGTTAACCTGGTGATGAAGCATCAGAGGATTCAGAGGCTGTTACCCCCAAATCCATGAGAGCTTTGCAGATGGAGGAGAAATACAACATCATCTCATCTCTCCTTAAACAATTTGTTGTAGGCAGTGGTTTCAGATTAAATAAATAACCAAGTACACAGTTTAGAGACTCCAGACCCCTAAGAATATTGAATTAAAAATTCAGGGATGCTGTTGTAGAGAATAGAAGGCAATGTGTTTTACAGAGAAGCAGGCAGAATATCTCTTGATTCATTGTACCTCCGAGTAATTACTAAGAGCAGATCTTGCTGGTAATTCAAGCAACAAAATCATTCTCTAATAATATAGGGCCACATTTTCTCCTTTACAGTTTCCCAGTGAAGAACTCTTCTTTGGGAAGCCTAGGGTAGAATTCCACCTTTCTGTGCCTGTCCTTCTGCAGGAGCAGAGGAGTAGGAAAAGGTGTTCTTGGCTCACACTGTGTATGCTGGGGTGGTGATGCAAACTAAGAAATACACATAGTTTTCAACTAGTAAGTGCTGAAATGCCTAATAGTTGAGGCTGTAGTCCTTTCCTTGAGAGATACCCATACCCAGAGCACAAGGGTGGTTTACTCTATTTTTCCAAGGAATAAACAATGACCCAGAGCTGTGATAGACTGAGCAAGAATAAAATCTAACAGTAGTTAGATTTTACTACTCAGCAGTTGCTTCAACTGCAAAGTAACAGAGTCATTTTAGAAATACCTGCAAGGAATTATTTGTAATAACTCTTGGTAATATAACAAATTTGCATGCTGGGAGAGTGGAGAGGTCACTGTCTATAGCTACAGCTCTAAAGCCAAATAGCCTGAAGCTGTTTCTGCTGTGAGGGGTTTGCAGGAAGACATGAATTTTGCAGCCAGGAAGAGCAGGTGATTTTTTTTCTAGCAACAGGAAATCTTTAGGCATACCAATAGAATTAATGTTCGGAGCTTTTTCAGTATTCCCAGGTGAAAGCTGAATGTGTCTGCAGACTCTATGGCATGTGGTCATCAGAATACTATAAATTTTCCTGTTACTTTCACAAAATGAAACACGATAAAATTTTAGTTTCTGCATTACACATTATAAAAATGGAAATAGAAGACTGAAATATTCCATTCACAAAGGGGAAGTGGGCATATATCGATCATATTAAAGCTACTTTTTCTTGTTTTTCAAAACAGATTCCTGCTGAGGATATGCAGACTTGAAGTGACATTTTCAGCTGTAAAAGCATTATTGGAAAATTTCACTCTAGGTTTAATAGCAGCCCATGCTATTAAATTCAATCCAGCTGTAAGTAGTTGTAATTCTTGTCTTGAAATCTGGTGTGTGTGTATGAGAATATAGAGAATTATAATGTAGGGATTTAGAAAAACATAAAATATTTGAATTACAGCAAGAATAATAGTGGCCTGGGTTTTTTGTCAGCAACCTGAATTCTGTCCCTTCATCCATAATATCAAAGATGGATGGATGGATAGATCCAGCCATGCAAAATGCCTTTTTTTTTTTTTTTTTTTTTTTTTTAAATTGCTTGGGTTTTTCAATCCAGCAATATAAGATACCAAGTGCATAGTGGAAGTTAAAAGA